CTATTAATTTACAAGCACTGGAGGGTGCGCAGATCCCAATCCCTTGCTCTATCCTTCATATTTGAGCTCACCTTGGTGGTGAATCGACTCAAGTCGAAAGGCGTCTCAAACATGATGGAAGAGAGCTTCTTAACTCGAGATATGGCAACGTATGACAATCATGGCGCATGATCCTTCCGTTCCAGGTTCAAGACCACTTGTTGCAGCGTCAATCCCTGTGCTTTGTGCACCGTGAAAGCGTACGCAGGGCGAAGGGGGAAGTTAGTGCGCGAACAGTCACGTTTTTTGTATTCGAATCGCCTGGTGACAGGGAAGATGGGAATGCAGTCAGTGCCGGGGAACTTGGGCCTCGTAATCATCGACTTCCACCATAATTGCAGTTGGCATGTCTTTGGTAGGATCTTGACCCTCACTCCAGACGATATCCCTCACCGTCCCCATAGACCCATTCACCAAGCCGTTCTCAACCCAGATATTTTTTGTTAACGTAACTCTCGCCCCTAGACAGATTCAAAGGTGAGGATCCAACCCATCTGCCTCGTCATCGTTTGCCCCCTCCGCGCCTTGGCCCGTATGCGTAGACTTGATTCTAAGGATAGGCTGTTTGCAGTCGCGGAGGCGCTGGTGGTTGTGCACATGAGCCTCCTCTCGACGAAAGTAAAGACGCAGTGCATCCTTAAAGGACTCTCTACCTCATTATGAGTTAGTTCATTCTGTACTCGCGTACTCAAAAGCTGCCAACTCTGCTGGGATACTTGATTAACCCTCAACTCTTCGAGTGCGCGGCGGAACTTAAGCGTCTCCTCGTCGTCGCCATCTTGCCGCATCAACTGTGTTAACCGGACTGTTGTATCCAGAGCTCGGTATGTTTGCTGGCCGGCCAAAAAGTCAACGTTTCGCGCGTTGAGAAGATTTGAATAGATCACAGTAGCTCCAATAGGAGGAAGTTGGTGGAAATCGCCACAGACAAAGATGTTGATGCCGGCATACATCTCATCCTGACGGGCTGGGAAGATTTCTCTGAGACGTTGATCCAGAAGGCCTAGGAATTTAATGCCAATCATAGACTTCTCATCAATAATGAGGTATTTGCAATGTTTGAAGACAGCCTGCAAAGAACACAGGTTCGATCTTGAGAGTTTCTGACAGAGTCCCTGTGGGAAGATCTTGACAGGAACCTTAAAGAGACTACGTAACGCGCGGCCGTAGAAATTGTGGGCAGCGATCCCAGTCGGAGCAGCCCACAAAACGGGGTTTCTCACTCCTGGAATAGTCGCCATATCTTCCAGTTTCTTACTTGCCTGTAAAAACATGTATGTTTTGCCTCCCGCGACACCATCGAGGTTGACTCTCAACTGGGGAGGCAGCGCTCCTAATAGTCCAGACTGCAGTCCAGACTAATAGTCCATAGACTATCGGTCTGGTCTGTAAAATGCAGACCAGACTGGTGGTCCCGTCCACGTTCCTCGGACAGACTGTTGGTCCAGTCTACGTTTATCAGACTAGACTGTGAAGGTTTCACGTGAAGGGAGGCTTAGTAAAAGTATTCAAGTAAATTGTATCGCTGGGCTAAGTCTATACTGGATTCGATATACAAGACGTAGCGCAAGGAAGCAAGAGATCCGATAGTCGGGGCACGACTTATCCAGAATCACATCCACGGCCGTGTACGAAGCTCCGTTGACAAGTTTCAATCCCTGCAGAGTGTTCTTATTGACGGCGATCGGCATGCCAGGCACGAACATGAAGACTGCTGAAGAGGCGTTGATTGCTCGCGTCCATGTCCACGTGAACATTATGCT